TCTCTCTAGTTTCAAAATTTCAAGATTTATAATATTATCGTTATTTATTATGAAACCCAATTAATGATTGAGGTAAAGGTACTTTTTCCATTAATAACTAATTCTAAACATTATTATTGTTACTATGATCTTACTTGTTTGGAGTTGTGAACTACTTTGTAACTGAGTGTATGTTCATTTTACTATGGAAAATATCACTTTTACCAGAAGGCGGATAGAGCCCGCATTGCTTGCGGGTCAATAAACAATGAGACCATGAATCCCTTTGTGGAGCGAATGCATTTAATGAAATCGCTTCCCGTAATGATGTGTTTAATACTACAGATTCCCTCAGCTTTATCTGTTTTGACAAAAATTAAACAAATATATATGTGTCACAGATCACATAATATTATCTATACCACGTGTTTACACGTTACTACAGTTAAATTACGTAAAAATCATATATTTCAACATCTATATATATAATCATATTTTTCAACATCTATATATATATATAATCACACGATCTTTTGAAATAACCGCTTTGATTTATTTTTTTAATTTAACATACACGACAACAATATTTTTTTGATATTAATCAGAATATTTACCATGTTTAGTTTGTTTAGAGAACTCTTAAAGGTTTTTGATTTAAATCTCAATCAATCTCAATATCTAGGCATGGCGCTTGTAAGTTGTAACAGTGCACAAATATCGAGAACTTTCAAAAGTTTGAATTTTTTTTAATTTGAATTGAATCATTGAATATCCCATTTTACATCATAACAATATTGTCAGTGACCGTCTAAGTTTAAAGATTATTAGGTAAAGTTTAGAAAAAAAGTTAGAACACATTTTGACATTAGACTCTAGTCCGCTCATGAAGTAAATACGTTAACAAAACAAGTTAACAATATAATTAGAAATATCAATTCTACGGTCTTTCTATAAATTAATAATTATTAAAGACATTAGTATGTAGTTGCAAACTTTGCCCTCTACTTAATCCTAAAAAACTTTTCTCTGTTAATAATGTATTATTACCGTCTATTTCAGTCATTCAAAATGATTTTATCGATATGTATTTCATAATTCATTTCGTAGTATCGATAAAAGCCCTAATGTATGGATGGCATGATTCGATTCGCCTAGCATAACGGCGGTGCTCGCGTAATATTCGCGAAAAATTATTTAGATTTTACTAAGTGTGATTTTTTTCCTCAGGAGAAACACTCACTTGTCTTTTTCTTTAAATTAAAATCATCCTTGAAATAACTTAATAAAAATGAGGAATATCGATATCCGATTAGAGAATATATAGGTATATTTTTTGATGTCGGCCAAAAATGTAATCGAACACTTCAACTATATTTTAAATAAGCGTGGACGTAAATCTGTTTGGTATTCGCATAGTAATTAGTGGCTGGTAGAACTATAGAATTTTAATTAAAATATTATATAAGAATAATATATACGAAGCTTATTAAGATTTTATTATACGAAAATTATAGTACAACGTTTAGCATTTTACTTGTTAAAATTTTATATTTCCACTCGTCTGGCATTTGAATAAATTTTAATGTAATCGTAGTACTAGCGGAACTCCTACACAGCCTAGAGCGTGCATTGATTCGCGCTGTGAATGACGATGAGATAAAACAATGGTCTGCATAACTATCGATTGCAATTTATAGCTATGGATTAGAATAGAGCCCATAAATTATATTATACTCAAATCATGGTATGAATGTATACTTTAATAAAACTTGGATGAGAAGTAATTTTTACACGAAAAGACAATTTGATGCATTCTATGTAATACATACGACGATAATGATGATGTCCTTCTGACCGATTTTGGCCACGGCAGCCTATTTAACTGAAACTAGCTAATTGCGCAGGAGATAATATACACACACAAGTGAATTTTCTATTCTTGTCACACTCATTCTCACAATTCTACACGATCTGTAAGATATCAGGCGCAAGACCTACGGTTTTAAGTGCTCTTCAAGGCAGAGGGATGAAGTCGCCGACTTTCATACTCCGGGCTAGATCCGGGACTCTAACACAAGACCGTTGGCATCTGCAACCATACATGCCACTTGCCAGTCATTAGCCCACCGATGTAATTAATTCTAATATAAAGTCATTTTAAAACAATTAAATAAGTTATTGTCATAGTTCACTGTTAATTTTTATTATTGTTATTAAATAATCCAGGACACTTTCGCATTCGTAGTTGAATGCGTAAGCGATCCTGCGACGCCCCAATAAGACGGGGGAAGGTTTTAGTGGGTAGTACTGGCTGTATTACGCCGGTGAGTCCCACACGTCGTGCGTAAATGCATTTCCCAACGTTAAAAAAAAAAAGAAAAAAAAGGACACTTTCGCATATCTAATATGTAAGTTCTTATACCTATAGATATTAAAGGAAGTTTTCTGTTTCCATTTTTCCTTCTGTATTTTTATCTATCTATATACTTCTATATATCTTACGATTTCTTAAAATGTAAATCCTAAAATTTACTTCTAGCTAAAGCGTAAGTTAATATGACTTCCAAATTAGCGACCTTAAAATGTTAATCTATTAATTATTTCGTGCTAATATATCATTCACATAAAAATGTATATTATTCGGGCACAACTCGTATTGGGCTAATTACAATTACGTAATTGTTATGAGTGTCGTGTGTGGGTATGTAGATGAGAGGTGTGGGAGAATAGAGAGGTTGAATAAATTACTTAGCAAGGACAGAGAAATAAGTGCAAATTATCATGTCATGTTGTTGTTAGGCTGCCTAGAAAAATAGCAACATCCACATACTATTTATTAACCATTTGGCACTATTATACCTACAATAAACATAAATTGCTAATAATGTCAATGTAAATGTGTGTACTTTGAAAATTGTCAGATATATTTATAGTTATTTACACACACACACATTTATTCATATATATGTGTGTATATATATATATACATATATACATATATATATATATATATATATATATATAAAATCAAAAATGATTCAATTTGTTTGTTTAGTGGCTTCTAGGAGTGCTGTGTTGGTACAATTTACTTTGCTAATGTCGCGTAGAATAGAAAAGGCGTTAAATTAAGAATGACCGGTAAAAGAGAAAAAAACTAAAAATGATATTTAAACTACTTACTAGCGATATATCCTCGCATCGCTCGAGTATGTCATTCTGATATGTTTGACTTGAAAAATATAAAAAAAATTAGACCCATTTAAAAAACAAAATATATTGCATATATAATGTATACATATTTTAGTTATTTAATTTGTTTTTAGTTAAAGTAAGGTATAACTAATTTATCTACACTAATATTATAAAGAATTCAAGTTATTATATAGTGGGGGGTAATTTCTAAGGCTGGCCTTAAACAGTCGGAATGTCTCTCTGAATCCTTATGCTTAATTCATAATCTGGATTCTAGATCCTTGCCTCACCATAAGTACTGATTCGATTCTGAAAATTCTTTTTCTAATACGAAGCTACATTGCTGCCGATTGCTATAGGCTATTTTTTATTCCAATAAAAATAGGTTTACTGATAAAAAATACTAAAAAACTTTAATTAAAATCGGAAGAAAAGTGCCAGTTAGTTTACTTTATTGGTGAGCGCTGCCTAAATTTTTTTAAATAAAATCATAAAATGTATTACGAAACACCCGGTCGAAGAGAACTCTAAGAGACGCACCCGTGGGTAAGTTGCAAGTTATTTACACGTGTTTTTTATGAGACAACACATCTATTTTGCTACCTGTTTTTATGTAATAGGTAATTGAAGAAAACTTGTTACTCTAAAAGCCGTTCAGCTACTTAACTAAAATATTTTTCTTCTGCCCACATTTAAAATAAGATGAGAATTTATAATAATGAGGTAATCAAACACATCTGCTTTAATAGCTAGACCACATATGTCTGGTAACGACGTATTTCGTATGATCATAAATCTGGGCTCTCAACGTAATTTTAAGCAATACAGCTTCATATTTTAATATTTATATTTTTACTATCGTTTCGTTAGTTGAATTTTCTTACATTAATCAATCGGAACTTTATTATGTAATTGTCCCACCATCAACACCTGTAAGAAAAACTACGTAACCCACTTTTCAATATAAGAAAGTCTAAAGTGATTTTAATGTACTAGTAAGAAAAAGTTTAAAGTATTAAAATTAAAATTTAAAAGTTTAAAGTAGGTACTTGTAAGAAAACTGCAAATTGGTAGACACATTAATAGGCTATAGAAATATTTTTCCATGCATATTTCACTGGGGCCGAAAAACAATTAATACTAATTACACCGCAAAACGAATTTCGGAAATTCTTAGAACGGATCACGCGAACTTAATTCGGTACCCTATTTACTTAATTAGCATTGTTTAAACCTCATAAAATATGGCAGTGATGATAGAATTTCAATTATGTAATATAAGATCATAATCTTAGTACACGTTTACACATAGTTATTCGAAAAAGCTTTTTAAAATGGAAAATCACACTAATTTGTAACAAAATATTACTAATTAGAGAGCAGGTAGGTAGGTACTTGCAGAAGCACGTTAGTGATGAGTCAGTGTATTTGTTATTTCATCTCTATTTAAAGCCTTAACGGATTTGAATGTTTGAATATATAATCCATAGCTGATATCCTAAAATCTAAATTATTATACATACTCCGTACATACCAAACGAGTGGAGTCACGTGCAATAACTAGTAGATTGTATCTTGTATTACACAAATCATATATATAAATTAATAAGTGACATCTAAAATCATGTCTTTATAATCTTTAAAGTACAACGATTTTATCTATTTTAAACAATATCCATAATACGTTAAGTATTCTACCTTAATCTACCTTGATTGGCCTATCTTCCAATCCAGAGTTATTTTGGCTCTTACTGTTTAACTTATTAAATATGGAATAAAATAGAAATATATCGAATAATATTTACATAGCATGCACTCTTTTGTTTTAGTATATATTTGAAAACGGAAGCCACGATGAAGGACTGCTCTCCCGTGACAAATTCTTAGAAGTTGGAAGCAGGATGGAGGCGAGGAGAGACTATCTGAGAAGCGAGTGTTCGAAGCTCGGTCTCGACAGCACAAGTCACAAGGCATACGCATGGGAGTACCTCATCAACAGACAGTATCATGTGATATGGTGAGAACTTGTTGCGCAACTGAGATTTCATTAGTGATGCAATCCACTTAGTAAAATGATGCCTGACTTTGCAAACTTGGGTTACATAAAGAAGAAATGATATAGATGAATATTTCTATATAATTAAAAATATTAATTATTACTATCCCTTCCAATTTCTTGGCTTATCGTCAACTGTGAAAGATCTATCAAAATCATTTTTGATTAACAAATTCAAAGAGTAATTGTCTGGGTATTTGGCGAATGATTATAGGATATTATTAATAATAGTGTTATTCTGAAACCATAGTAAGAATAAACAGCATTTTTAAGATATTTTTAAGATTTTAAGATTTATTTTTAAGATTTTTTAGATTAAAATATTAATATTTTCTTTTAGGTGTAATATCTTCAAGGCTGCTTCAACTTCATGGATGTACAACTTCAATCTGATGGCAAACTACACCGCCTCCTTCCTTGATAGGACGAAAGAAGTTCCTTTAGAGCTTGCGAGGAAGAAATACGCAAGACCTACCGTGGAAATGATAAGAAAAGCTCAGGGAGATTCTATAACATTCCTGATAGTACGTCATCCGTTAGAACGGTTGGCATCTGCCTACAATGACAAAATCGTGCACGCCTGGCCTAAATCTTTCCACGATCAAATGGGACGAAGAATAATCAAAAAGTATAGAAAAGTAAGTAAATACTTCTTGTCTTTCCAATTCACTTAGCAGGAAATCAATATATCTACAGATACTAACGTCTTAAAAATTGTTAACACCTCCATGTAAATTTCTAAGAAATTAATTAAAATTCTAAGAAATCTATTGTTAACTGACACACCGGCGTGTCCGCGGTCGTGGAGGGATTAAAGATTAAAAAGAAAGGGATTAAAGATCAGCTAGCTGACATTGTTCGTTGCTGTCGCGTATATGTTTTTTTTTATAAACCGCAGGATTTTTTTATTGGCAGAAGTTCGGTTCAAGAAATTCGTATCAATCTGTGGTAACTAGAAATACTTAAAACAGATATAATATACGTCGTAATATTCTAATTCTAATAATAGCATCGCATATTTAGTACAAAATTTCGGAATGCTCATATATTTGGCAAAGCATACAAATTATAGATACCAAGATGAACCCACACGAATCGTTATTTGCGTTTTGGTAATTCACATCAATATCCTACAGACATTTGGCTATTCACGATCGTCGTCGACCACTAAAATGACCGTTATTTTTCATTGGTAACCAGAACTAATACTTCCCTGATTTAAAGTCGTTGTTAAATTGAATAATTGGTTACTGTCAATTCAATGATTTTACAAGGATCTACTGATAAATTAGTAAGTAGATGTGAATAATAAGCTACTTAGCATGTGGGCAGCATTCAGTCATTATTGAATTACGAATGGTAATATAAATTAGGCGATTCCTTGGAAATATCGAGGATAATCTTTTCTGTAATTAAATACTTACATAAGTACTAAACCAAGAAAACGATTATTTTTGTTTTAAATTTAGTATATGAAATTGCTCGATGAAATAACTTATTCCCAATCAATTTGATCGAAGAGATATCAAATACTAATCCCTACACGACCGCGGATACGCCGGCGTGTCACTTAACAATAGATTTCTTTTCTTAGAAATTTAATTAATTCCTTGGAAATTTACCTGGAGGTGTTAAAAATCTCTTACACACTGCAATAACTTTAAAATAAATGCGAGAAATGAAATATTATCTTTTTAAGCTAACTTATATCCAGTATCAATTTAAAATGGCAATTTCAGTCCTTTTATAAATGGTCTCAATGTAAAAGATATTCGTATACCTATATTTTATCAAGTGAAATTAACTGTGTGATATTTTTAGTCAGGACCTAAGCCGGCACCGACGGAGAGGTATCCAGTTTTTGAAGAATTCGTCTCGTATGTGTTGGACGAAGCTAAAGTAAAACGCGCACTAGACATGCATTGGACGCCGTACACCGATTTCTGCACGCCCTGCAAATTTAATTTTGATGTCATACTCAAGTTCGAAACTTTAGACGTAAGTCATAATGAATCAAACTTGCATTTGAAGCTGTTTTATCCAGTGCACCTACGTATTGTGTGTATATTCAAAGTTAGCTTTACAAAGCTGGAACTGTTACTCTTGTGATAAGTATAGTGGTATAATACTGACGGCTTACGTTTTTTAGTTTTTTATGTATTTATTATATACATAAATATGATTTCAAAGTACTTAGATGAAATGAAAACACCAAAAAGTAACTGTTCCAAAAATTGTGATTTCTTTCTGAATTATTTATAATTATTATTTTTATATATTTAAAAGATTTCTATTTTCAGATATTACTTGATAAGCAAACTTAAAAGCTAAAATTAACGTTAAGTTAAAGTACAGCTCTTAGAATCCTCTTACGAAATTTACTTTTTCGTATAAAATGCAATTAAACTTTGTGAACCGCTTTAGCTTCAAATAAACGGATTAAATTGAACTTTTTACTTTACAAATTCTATCCACAGATTAATTAAAAATGGTTAAGAAATTGCTTAATAAATAAAATTTGATTTTTGTACTGTCAATATTTTGGTAATCTATACAGGTACATATAATAAAATTCCAAATCTATAGTTTTTAGAATTTTTGTTTGTCTGTCTATCTGTGACCGCATCACGAGAAAACCACTGGACAGATTTTGATGAAATTTGGTATGGTAATAGCTGGTTATCCGGGTCAACATATAGGATACTTTTTACTGCGGGAAGATATCTTATCTTTGAGAAATCTATACTAAACGTTAAAACGTAAGTAGGGACGAACCTGAACAGAGCGAAGTTAGTCGCACTCGTAATACATATTTTTAGGAACGACAAGGAAATATTAAAATTATTAAAAATTTAGGTAATTTGAATTTCGAATAACCCTTTCCTTCCGTTTGATGTTTTGCATTTCGTATTTTGCAAATGTTTTAAACTTAGTCTTTTCATGTAATGAGATTAATTTATCTAAATATATATATCACGGTTTATTATATTACAAACATATATATAGTATGTCTGAGTGATCTAATGGGCAAAGCCAAAGCGGATCCCTAGCTAGTATGTTTAGAATTACCGTCTATTTTCATTGACATTTTCCAACACTTGCACGACGTGCGATGTTGCAAACATTTTACACAACGTTAGGTACATCAAAGGCGCGGGCATATTGCAATCTAATCAATAGAACATCTAGAGCTATTATTGTTGCATTATGCATTAATAACATTTTTGTTACATCTTGCATTACTAATCTAATGTATTTAATTTAATATTGATATTTATGTAAAAACATTGGTAATTTTTCTTTGTCATTATTATATTTTAAATCTCATGATTTTTTTTAAAGTTATAATTTTTTTATTTTTATAATAAAAGTTATTTCTCTCATTTTTTTTAAAAGTGATAATTTTTCCATTTTATAATAAAGGTTATTTTTCAATGTTCATAATATTTTATCTATAAATCTTTCTATAATTAATTATAAATAACTATAAATATTAATTATAATTAAATAAGCACCTACTGAATCGAGTCAAAACTTAGTATAAAATAAGATCTTCGGATAGAGCTTACTTACTTTTAAATAAAATTGCTAGATAAAATAAACAAAATATTTCACAAACAAACAATAATTTGTTATGTAGATATCAGATAAAAATAAAATAAATAAATAAATATGTTGGGACATTAACACGCAGTACCATCTAGTTCCATTGTAAGCTACGAAGCTTGTGTTATGGATACCAGATAGTTGATACTTATACACTATACATAATTAACTTTAAATACATACTTATTATAAGTATAAGCACCCAAGACTGGATAAACATTCGTGCTCATCACACAAATGAATGCTACCAGCGGGACTCGAACCCGCGACCGTTGGCACAACAAATAGGATTACTACAAAGTACAAACTGAGCCAAACGTGTCGTCGTCGATAAAATATGTACCAAAAATAATATAATTAAACTCTGTTGTACACCGCGATACCTGGGCGATGATGAATGAGTCAGGACAAGGTTTACACATAATAGATTAGTGAGAAAAAACGCCAAAGTAATTTCCTACAAAACCAATATACCTACGTTTGAGGCGAGTTATTGGTTTAGTTGTGTTATTCATGTGTATACAAGAAATGTCAAGGATCTATAGGTACGTGTTTGTTTTATAACCGAGTCGCCAATGTCCAAACAAATTACCAAATTATGCTAGACTTATATACCTACGACTATAATAGCTTTTAAATTATTAAACGTAGGTATGTAATACCTATAAGGTAGTTATATATTTCCCTCTGAAACAAAAGCTAATGTCTATTAAAGCTGAGTTTAATTGAACTATTTTTGTAATATTTTAAAAAAAATTACGTTTTTACCCTGCTTCATTTGTAATGAGGGAATACGGATTGTTTTCCGAGAATTCTTATATTTAAATATCTATTATACTTAACTTTCAAATGAGAACTTGTTAAAAAAATGGAGAAGTCTTAATTCTTCGATGGCTTGATTATTTGTGTATGCTACATGATATCTTTGCCTATTGTCAATCGATTACGATTTACGTGTAGTTTTTCTTTAATCTAATTTAGAGGTCGGTTTAAAAGGTTTTTTAGAAGTCGGTTGTATTAATTTAAATCTGATTATTTTTTATTGTTGTACTTATTGGCCGCAATATAATAATAAGGACCGCAATAATAAGGACATATTGGCCGCGCCTACTGACCGGAATATTGTGTCGCTACTAACATTTTGTGAAAACCACTATATTATGTAATATTATAGTGAAAATAAGAAGGCGAGTTATTTTTATCTAGGGTAACACCCATTTACTTTACATTACAGGAAGATCAAAGATTTCTCATACAAATGGCTCGTCTTCAAGACGTTATCAAACCGGAGTGGCGGAACAGCGGCAAAGGCACCAACACGTTGCATATCATCAATCATCTGTACTCGCGACTCAAGAAATCCCAACTAGACGGTCTCTACAATTTGTACAAGTAAGCAGAATTATAGTATAGGTACATAGATAGTTTGACACCTACGAACAAAAACATTGCAAATCAGTAGTGTTAATATTTTTTTGTTATTTTTAAGTCCAAATTCGAATTTGCTACAGAGCTAAATGCTAGTGAATTAATCCTGTTGAAATAAGTCCAGTACTAATTGTTTTTATGAAAATTTAAGTTGCTACTTATAACATTGAATCTTTAAAAAAGTGCGTACAGGTATTACATTAATATATATTTTTTAAACTTATTGTTTAGCGTGTAAAAACAAAATAAAAATATATTTGAATATAAAACAGACTATTACGTAAGGAATTACGAAACTTTGGTAAGTTATGGCGTGGGGCGTGCCCCGTGCCACTCTTCTATGTTTTGGCGCTTAGCAATAAGCGAATGTACATATTGTTTTGTGTAAATAAACAATGGAAAAATAATAGCAGAAAGAAATTATAACACACAATTAATATTTATTTCATAATGGAAGTGTGTAGCGGACATTTTGGCATTAAAGCCATTAAAATAATTGCCATGAAAACCCTAATTGGTTACTCAAAGTTATAGCCCCATTTATCTTTATTAAATTTCTCAAGCCGCGAATCCTTTACTTTAGTTTAGAAGTTGTTCCTAGAGCAAACATTTTTTTTATCTTTGTATAAAATTAGTCGTTTGACTTACGTAGAATGGTCAGAAAGTCTTATATTAAAATTATCTTGCAAATATAATCGCGTACGAAACGATAACACATAAAAGTGTCCTCTGTTGACATAAATTACTACTATCTACTACTATTAGAAGGCATAATATTATATGTACAATTATGTTCAATATTTATATATATGTACTGTGAAATCAATTTTCTTTAGGTATACTTTCCATAACATTGCAAATTGCGTTGCATTCACATTTTTCTTGAAGAATAAATATAACTCATTCATTTTTTGCCTTCCTTAATCACGCGTTCCTACTGATTGATGGTTTTTGGTATAACAAGATAAACTTTTGAAAATGAGAACAAATTCCATTTTCAAATATGGAAGAATACCATTACAAATTCTAAAACACTATATCGATAGTATGGAATTCGCCTTGTTCTCGAATATCATTATAATTTGTACTATGGGACATGGGTACTGTATACTTACTTAATACTAAACTTCTGCCCAAGCGGTAATAAAGCCACGACATCAGCAATCAATCTATGATACGTATCGTAACTCCTACGGATTTTATTGACTTATGACTTAGTTTTATAAAATCAAAGTCAAATAAAGCTTGACGACCTTAGTTTGGTGTTTTATACACATACAGGTGTCCTTATCAATAAAGGCCGAGGTTTGTTCAAGTAAAACTATAGATAAAATTACGCTGATAAGTTCTAATTTTATATTAAACCGAACTATTAGCACAAGTCACAAGGATAAAATTAAAGTAAAGAATTTTTATTTTGTCGTGGGGTAAAACTTATTTCTCTAAGGCCTATGGGTATCTCCATAGGTAACTTGCCCTTACACGGAAGCGTATGTTGTGGCGTAACTAGAGAAAGTGTGAATATGGGGAATATAGAAAAATAAAAAAAAGATTTTTTATTAGCATGCTTAAGTTATGTTACATAGCTTTAGGATACATATTAAGTAGGTACTAAGAAATACTTTTATTATTACTAATTTTGAATTATAATGTTTCAGATATGACTTTCAATTGTTTAACTATACCATAAACAATTATTATGAGATACTTAAAAAGGACGAGGACACCAATCACGGATGAGCGCCAAAAACCCCGCATTTTGAATGCTTTATTTCATCGCTACAGAGGCGTGACAAGATGGTAGATGGCGAAAAAATGGAAGACTGAATGTAACTGAATAAGCACTATATCATCTTATTGATCTGTTCTTAGAATTTTGTAAGAATGAGAACAGAACAATGCCATATAAAGACAATTTGAATTATCCATCAGCATATTTTCAATTTTGCCCCATAATAAAGTTTAATAATGATAATAGATTTAATTTATAAGATAACTAATAACGTTCGTTCTATAAAATTTTATCCGTTAGTCAAATTAGATTACCTATAACTTTTGTTTTAGTTTTAAGCATATTTATTTAATACGTTTATATTTTGTGATATGCTTGCTAATTCCGGTTATGCTTAAAAAGCTATGCTACGTTATGAAGTAGGTGAAAAATATGTACCAATATTTAAATTATTTCCTTGTTGAAACCATATATAATTTTTTAAGCTTAGACGTAGTAAATATTAAATAGCTGAAATTTTTATTTTTAGTTATATTCATTATTGTAAATATTCGAAAAAAAGAAATGAAGTAATGTATCTAATTGAAGTAGCATTCGTTTTTACAGTCGGTACGGATATTAAAGAATAAAATGTTTTAAAATATAATATTCTATTTTAATATGATAACAAAATTTGTTAGTGCTTCCGTATAGATAATGAATTAAAATTAATGTACATTACAATAGTATACATAATGTAAAAATATAATAAAAAAATATTCAATGCATTCATTTTTTCATTCAGGATTTACATATATATGATTATTTTAATTAGTTACTGTTACAGTGTTAATATCGTATAATGTCCATTTTTTTACCGATAGGTAAGTAAATATAACGTAATAATCAGTCACAAATTTATAAGTTATAAATTAACCCCATTATATTACGCAAGTAGGTACATTAATTATGAAAAATTAAACAACTGTGTCATTTAGTAAAATTATTTTACTAAATAGAAGAGAGGCATATTTTAATAAAAGAAATTAAAAAATAAATAAAATAAATTAAAATAAATTTTAATAAAATATGCCTCTCTCTACACGATTAACGATATGTCCACGCTTTTCCTTTGTGTCAATACCATTGTATATGTAGCAATATCGCTTAGGCTGGCCACACATGCACGTTTGCCTGATTCCAGAATAGGGATATATCGGCTAACTTCATAATTCGTTTCCGAACAGAAAATATAAGGACGAATGCACCATGTAGATAAAAAAGGCAAAAATGCTTCAAAACTATTTCTCTCAATGAATAGGTACATTAATGAAGAATTAACAGTTTAATAGATGATGTCGGTTTTGTATAATAGCCAAATCTTAAGACACAATGAATAGTAGATTGTATTAAAATTGTTTATTAATTAAAAATAACACAAAATGTTGTAAGGCTAAATGCCATTTATGAACGAAATGATTTATTATCGTTGTATGTAAAAAGTTAGTTTATATTAATTAAACATAGCTCTGTAATGAATACATTGTCCGTTAAAATATTTACGCCTAGTCATTTAGCTCTAAAATTAAAAAAAAAAATATTTTTGTAGCTAAGTTGCGTGTAAATCTAAACAAATATTGCAGCCTCAAGATTAAGTATTGTTTTTGGCTGAATAAATATTATAATAGATAATTAAGTACTTTTTACATATTTTGACCAAAATATTTATTTATTCTCATTGTTAAACTTGTATGGGTAATTTTTAATTTGATTAATAAAAGACCTTGTATTTTTATCTGTTGAACAAGTAAAGTGAATGTTGTATGTAAGTTTAATTGATTAATGTGTTACTATTTCAAAAACATAAATTAATTACAATAAAAAATGATAAAATGTGTTTAGTTTAACTGGCATTTATATGAAAGCACCTTTTCAGCTATATTAGATTATCGAGATAATGACTAATTATTATCATTTTAAACAGTTACATAGTGATATTATATATCTATACCTTAAATGATATTAAAAATTCATGTTTCATACATCATGTGTAATATCGTAATTGATAAATTATTTACGGAAATATTGAAAAAATTGATACACCATATTAGTATGTAATATGTAGCGGTGGACGACTATGATTGATATTGTATAATTACTAGCTGGATTTTATATATAATAGGAATTAATATATTGTATTTATTTAGATAAATTTCTAGATGCTTCTCTAGTAGATGAACTCTTAATAACAATATTTAAGTGTACCTATATTACATTCTTTTGTCATAAAACAAGCATTATATGAATATTATGTTCCCAAGTATTTTTAATCATTCATCATCATTCACCGCTAGGCGTAATTTAATTCGCTTTTAGATTTATATACCTAGTTGTATGGAACGAATGTTAGACCAAAAGAATGGCCTAGATAGTAACTGAAATGGTGCTATAGACCCTTAGATTTTGATCTCATATCAGCATGAGTGTACTTGTTGCTATTGTGTTATCGACTCAAACTATCGAATCGGTTGTGTTAAATGATGTTAAAGAAAAATTTATTCTTAGTACTTATAGAGAAATAAATAAATAAATATCAGTTTAAATCTGACGATGTTGTTTTATTTTATATAAGTACCTATAGTTATAAATCTACTAACAGCACACCCTCACTTCGCTCAGTTTCGCTTCTAGATAAATCAAAACAAATCTATCCCTCGGGATCCGTTCTTTTTCCGAGATAAAATGTAGCCTATGTGTTATTCCAGACTATAGTCTATCTCTGTGCCAAATTTCATTCAGATCCGTTCAGCCGTTCTGGCGTGAAACAGTAACAAACATACATCCATACATACTCATAAACTTTCGCATTTATATTATCCCTTAAGGGGGTGAAAAGAGAGATGGAAGTTTGTATGGGGAATCAATCATTTCTCAAGTAAGGGATACAACTGCATTTAATTATCTTTTTAAACTTACCTGAACCGGTAATCTACATTTGTTGGTTCAACTAAAAATACAGTAAAGTACACCGTCACGATTTTATCGAACAGATTTTTCTATTTACAACTTTCCTTTAAAATAATATAACATATATATTTACACACTAAGTACATTATAAACTAGATTTGAAAATGAAATTGTGTCGAGAATCCCCTCACTATATAAATAAACAAAAAAGTAGTTGAAGTAATTAAATAAAGTTTTCATCTTGACGTACATCCATCGTCTTTTGTTTTGAGCAAGAAACGTTACAGTAAGTAACGACATAATATTACGTTATGAAAATGACGTTGTTTATGATATGAAATGTTACGCTAAATTTAACTTTGTGCAATATTATATTTATGAAATATTAAAGCATAACATGTACTTAAGTAAAATAAAGAAATATTGATAATATTAATATAAGTGTGCGTAACGCTAATGAAAGTTATGTCGCTACAGCGCCATCTATTGTCAAACATTTTAATATGCCAAGAGAATTGTCATTTTTGCATTCCATACTTCAATCCAGATAAAAATATAGTGAAATATAAGAATTGAATAAAAATATAATCAATAAAACAAGGTACATATATAGATTTAAAAATATTTTTATTTTAAAATAAATATAACAACCTCAAATGATACTTATTTAAAAGTTCACACTGTCGACTTCACTAAATGCATAGGGAATTGCGGAAGGTATTCCTTTTTCTCAGGTACATTTGTATAATTCCTGCAATCAATGTACAGTATACATTATTTTTAAAATGTCATTGACAGACGAACAGACAGTTTCAAAGAAAAAAATATATAAATAAAATTGAAGTGTCTGTTTGTAATGTTAAAATAACAGCTTTCTACTAAATGCACATGATATTATATACGGTACTTTAAGAAAAACACAATTTTAAAATGTTTGTCTATCTACCTGTCTGTTTGTTCTGGCTATTCTCTGAAAAGGTTGGACTGATTTTGACGGGACTTTCACTGACAGATAACTGATTTTATAAGAAGTAACTTAGGCTACTATTATTTTGGAAAATGAATTAGGATTCTGCTAAAAAAATATTATCATATATACGTTCGTACTCGAGCGAAGCGAGTGTAAGTCGCTTTTAATATAATAGAAAGTATATATTTATTAGTAACCAAAATAATTAAATCTTTTATATAAATCACAATTTTACTCTAGATTCATTTCAAATTGTACTATAATACATAGTTTAATAAAATGTACCAAGTACTAAGCAAACAAATGCTTTTTCAAGTTATTGTACTCACACTGTAGCAGTCTTTTTTCTCTTAGGCTTTTCTTGTATATCTATAGGATCAGTAGTAATAATGATTGGTCTGACTGATCCAAAGAAATCCGTTATAGGCACTTTGCTGGGATCTCGCTTGAATAAGTCCCGTCGAACTCCTACAGTTGATAAACATGCACTCTTTGGACACACTGCCAGCTGAAATAAGCAAAAATATATAAATACTACATATATGTATAGAACTTACACGCATAAAGCTTATACAACTAAAATTGTAGATTTTTTTTCTCTCTTTCTCTGTGTTTATTTGCAATCAGCCCTAAGATTATGAGAAAATTTATTCTGTGATGCTGTCAAAAAATTGTAGAATAACGTAGGTTACAAAAATATAATGCATACTGTAAGGCATGCAGAATTTTCTAAACTGTATTAGAATCTATAGAACTACTAGATTGACATTTTTAATTTCATTTATCTTTATAATTTATTACACAAAATCAGCATTTAGTTTTTCTTTTTTAAAATCGAGTTTTTGTTAAATGTTTACTTGAGCTTAAATACCTAAAAGCCTTGAATTAAAAAATAATTGAATGTACTTACAAATTCTGACATTGTTTTTTTACTGTTAGGATGTACATTCTCTAAGAACTCCAATACATAATATGTGTATCGATCAATGATGTAAACTCCTATGGCTGAATCGACGTGATGCTGTAACCAATAAATAACTTCACTATAAATCATTACAACAGATCTACAGGGCCAAAAATATTAAAAAAGATTCCAAGTTCTATCAAAACCTGAGTGTTTGGGCACCAATGTTACTGTTCTAGACGGAATAAATACCATCCACTTAATGAAAAAGTCTTGTAATAAATTCATGATATATGTACATACAATGTATGATAAATATTAAAAGTTGTTTTTGTTATACATATTTCATTTTATTAATTGAATATATTTTATAAATTTAATTGAAAACATTTTTATTATAAATCAAAAGAACTTCCAGCGAAGCGCCATGTATCAAATAAAAAAAACTATTATTTCTGAATAACATAATATATTGGGTACCTTATATCAGTGTAATTGCCACACGAGCGGAGCCATGGGCATGACACTATAACTAGACAAAATACATATGTTTCTACATAAGATATTTTTAAATTTATTATAAAGACAAGTTCTTACAGATAATGAATCTTCTCCCACTAAGCTGCTAGCAGTAGCGAGAATATTTGGCGAGTAAAATTTCTCATACATTGATGACGCCTGACACGTGTCTATTATAAAGAAAATTTCATTATACCTAAAAAGAAAAAAAAATACATATTTTAATTAGAAAGTTAGTTTATTAAACTTACAAAGAAAACTTACAATTCAGGTTTATTTTTTAATTTTAAATTTTAGCCTTACATACATGTACATAATACATGAGTATTCTAATATTAATTATTCCCCTATTTTTAATTTAGTTATTCACAGGAACATTAAAATATTACCTGATTCAGTTTAACTTAACCATCCAACCATCAATATGTAAATAAATAGTGCTCATTTCCCCTGGATTATTTAGAAGACATTTTTTTCCATAATTTGAATTTTTCATTTATTTTAATCACTACATAATAATCCTATTAGTTGTGGGTATTTCTTAAATAAATTATTATGGTTCTAACATTAGTGGTTAAAATATTAAATTATACAAACCTTCTTTTTTGCCACATTTGTTCTAAAGCATCAGCAAGCTCTTGGCTCGTTATTTCTTCAGAGTCTTGGAACTTCAAGAATCCATCTCCACCATGACCAGTCAAATAAATGAGGATATTACTACCTTCATCTGTTAATAGACGCTTAGATCTTGGTGTATCTGGAGGGACACGCCCAGTTAGAAGTCGGACAAAGTTCTCAACTGATACCTGAAGTAGTAAAATATTAGTAGTGTAAAATACACTGACATGACAGTGAAAAAAAAACTATTTAATCATAATAAAAGATACAGTATATCTCCATTATGATTTATTATTTTTTTATTATAGATTTATTTGGTAAGAATAATCCTATATTTCTTCAAAATACTAATTAACACCTCCAGGTAAATTTCTGAGAAATCTAGTATTAACTGTAACACCGGCGTATCTGCGGTTGTTGAGGGTCTAATAAATGTAAGCTAAGTTTTTAATGTAACAATTCTTATTCTCCTTGTCTTTATCCCAAGCTATGTGGGGTTGTCACAACATATTTCTTTCTTCAACTTGCCTTACTGCTTTTTTGCTACACACACCTTTCACATACATAATATTCTTTTTCATACAGACCATCTATACCTTCTTAGGTCTACCTCTACTTCTATATTCATCTACATTTATATCTATCCTATATGGCTTGCTCATACAAAGCTAACCAATTACTTGTCATCTGTCACTGCTGTTTCCAATCTTCCTCCAATATAATCCCTCTACTCAATCCTAGTAATTATTTACCGATCCCTTTTTTAATCTAATACAAAATAGAAATAAACAAGTACTCACTTCATATCCTCTGTAGTCAACTTCAACATCATCCCCATATACATTAATTTGTTCATGAGCATTATTGAAAATGGTGGCTGGACGAGGATTTCGTGGATTGCAAGCCATATCATCAGATATCATAAGTATAATCTGGCTATCTGGTATACCTAGCCGCTTTACACTTCGATAAATCGAAAGCACGTTCGCAACATGCCGATAATTAAACCAAAATCGCGATGTATCTACTAATACAGCCCAATTGTTTGTATGGTTTGATTTTTGAAATTTTTCTGGAATCTAAGACATTTTTAGACATTATTAAATGAATGAGATACCTACTCAGATATTACATGAAAATAAATTGTATATTTCTTACCTCAATTCCATGGCATATATAAAAAGTAAAGGAGAGAGATATCAGGAAATATAATGTATTAAAGCCTCGCATAATGTCATTTAAAAATCTCAATCATTTAATTAAACATACTTAGCACAGGCTTTGTTATTATCTTTTAAAATTGACAATTGTGATTATTGACAAATGACAATGGTCAATGACATTAACACATATGACATTTGATTTTTTTTCTTTAGTGTTAGTGTACTAGGGCTGCCAGATAACAGTCGTTAATTTACCCAACCAATAAACCTCAAAATACTTGGTTTATCCCGGCGGCGCAGCGCCAACCTTGAGCAGAATACCCGAAAATAGTTTTTTTAAAGTAATTCATTCTTGATTTATAAAGAATAAAAGAAAGTACTACCCACTAAAACCCAACAAAACCTTCCCCCGTTTTAATGGGGCGTCGCAGGATCGCTTACGCATTCAACTACGACGCCCCGATGGCAGGTCTGCCGAAGCAGACCACCACAACCATGGGGTTGCTCCACAGTCCACTCTGCTATCAGAGAAGTACCAGGAGCAACCCGCATGGTACACAGCCCCCCGAAGAGGGCCACCTCCCACCGCCCACCGAAGTGGGCAACCTCCATGTGCGTTTCTTAGCTTCGCGCCCGGTTGGATTGCCAGGCACTACTGAGCCCCCCACCACGACAAGGTGAACGCACGTTGGGGGGGAGGAAACTAAAATACCTGCTTTGACCCCGCTCAATGCAAATACCTGTCAAAATTACCCGACATCAAAATCGCCTAAAATTACCTGCTTTTCGGGTAATTTATCCGCCAATGAGCAGCGCTGTAGTGTACTGATCTAGGACGATACATCGTCCTAGTGATGTGACTTACTGATTTTCAAAAGACAATGATAGTTGGTATTAATATTGCTAGAATAAAAAATGTTGTGCCAAACACAATAATGGGGAAGATTTCTTGAAAGGAAGGGGAGCTACACGTATGACCTATTTACATTCAGACTGATGTTAAGCAATTTATTATGATATCTCTTTTGTACCTGGTTTTTGCTTCTATTGTGTTCGCGTCTTACCTGTGTAATGTATTGTACCTGGAAATAAGACCAGCTGAAGGAAGAATTGAGAAGAAGAGGTGCATCCTGTGGTGGTCCTGACTGACTGATGGATCAACACACAGCCTAAACCGCTAGTTGTAAAAATGTGAAATTTGGAGGACGTATTCTTTAATATGATCTAGGCATCGGAAAAGCAAAGATTTTTAGAAATTATTTCCCTAAGCGGGTAAAATAGGTGATTAAAGATTATAATATGAAACTCTATCATTCTTAATGTGAAACATACAGAAATTGGTGTATAGCTTTAAGATAAAAGATTAAGAAATGTATTTACTTAATTAATTTTTAAATTCATCCCTTAAAGGGGTAAAAGGGGGGAAGAACGTTTGTATATGAAACTCTGCAACTAACATATAAAAACGTACAAAAAATTAAAAAAAAAACACTTATAGACGATTTAAGAGTTTTAAATATAAAGATTTTGATTTCATCCCTTTTGGCCGTCTTAATGCTTTAGCCCACAATTACTTCAGTTTTTGCCTTTTGGAAACAAATGATATCCATTTTCTTTGCATCCTGGCACTGCACAATTTGTCATTTTAATTAAATTTTAAATAAAAAGAAAAAAATTCATCTACGCTATCTTTAAGCATAGAGTATGTAATCACTACGTTTTATTTTTAAGCTTTACAATTTTGTGAGGATCATAGTGATCGCGATATCTAGCGGGAGAAAACGGTAAAATTCTTCCCCATTATATAATAATTTATTGTGAGTGAGGCTCATATAATTAAAATTTTTAAAAGAATTCAAAATACGTGAATAGATTAAATAGATATGTAAGTTCAATAAATATGTTTTTATAATAAACTAAAATACATTAAGTGTAATCGTATAGTGGCAACAATAAACAGACAAGATTTGAGAAATGATTGTCAAGTAAACAACGTAAACATAACTTTTTATAAAATTAATTATTAATTTAGTCATGAGTAGCCGCAACCCCAATACGTTAATGAGTGTTCCTGACGAACAATTTGATTATTTATTCAAAATTGTCCTTATTGGTGATTGTGGTACGGGTAAAACATGCATTGTGCAACGATTGAAGTCCGGTAATTTCATTGAAAGACACGGCAATACAATAGGCGTAGACTTTTCTATGAAAACTTTAATAGTAGACGGCAAGAAGGTCAAGGTTTGTATTCACATTAGAATTTTTTTAAATATGAACTAGCTATAAAAAAATTAATAATATAAAATGTAGCTTCAGATATGGGACACTGCAGGACAAGAACGTTTCAGAACAATAACACAAAGTTATTATCGTTCAGCCAATGGAGTCATCATAGGTATGTTAGCCGTATAATTTACAACCCAATATTATTTTGATATCACATCGATTTCCAAACAGGCATGGAAATGTCAGTTGTTATGACTAATAAAGCTGGAACATTTATCAATTGTATGATTTATATGTGATTATCTTTTATTTCAGTCTATGATATAACAAAAAGATCTACATTTTTGTCCTTGCAAAAGTGGATAGAGGAAGTAAGGCGCTATACATCATCTAATGTAATAGTTTCACTGATAGGCAACAAATGTGATCTAACAGACCAACGAGAAGTTGAGCCAGATGAACCTAAGTCATTTTGTCGTTATGTTCCTGAAATTATGTTTGTAATGGAGACGTCTGCAAAAGATAACACAAATGTTGAGGATACATTCCGCAGCTTAGCTACGGAACTAAAGGTAAAAATTCAATATATAAGGAAACTATAACAGAGGATAGTATTTTATAAAAAAATTGAGCCAAAAATATTTAATTGAATTTAATCTGTAATTCTGTCTTTGCTCTTAATAACTTTAAAAAGGTTTTTTGAAAGAGTTTAATTTAGGTATTTTAACTTTATTTCAGAGGCAACATGATAGTAGTGAAGGTCCTCCAGCTGACTCAGATTCGGTAGTGCTAGGTGAAAGTCACCCAGTAAGTAGGTGCCAGCCCTGTAGATCTTCTTAAATAATTTCTAGATATCTAGACAATCTGCCATTTGTTTTTTATTTAAAATTTTAGTGATCATGTCTATATATTGAATGTTTATAATTTTGGGTAAAATGCTTTAAACCCTTTTTATAGCTTGTAATAATTTGTGACCCGACATCTATGGCACTATGTTATTATTTTCTCAAATCAAAATTAAAGTCCTGTTGAAACTTTTTTCTTTTTACCATTAATTCACATAATTTTATAATAATAATTTGAAAATTGAAAATATAACATTTGTGAGTCGTTCTGTCGAGACCTTGTACTAATTTTGTTTTAATTAATTATACACTTTTCTTTCAAAACACTTTTGACACATTAAGCATACCAACTCCTTTTTTTAATGTTGGGAAATGTATTTACGCATACCACCTGTATACAAAGAGGTAGTTATGTGGGACTCATAGGCTAGAAAGCCAATACTACCCACTAAAACCCAACAAAACCTCCCCAGTCTTAATGGGGCGTCGCAGGATCACTTACGCACTCAACCACGACGCCCCGACGGCAGGCCTGCCGAAGCAGACCACAACAGGCGTTGCTCCAATGGTCCACTTTGCTATCAGAGAAGTACCAGGAGCTAACCACATGGCGCACCACCCAACGAGGTGGACCACCTTCCAAGGTGAATCATGTTGGGGGGAAACCATATCAACACCTGGTCTATCCCGTGGGTAATAGCTTATGTTTGATTTTAGGAGCCTGTATATTAAACCAAATATTTCTTTTATTCTTATTCATTACTTTAGCTGTGAATGATTTGTATATACTGTCGATATGTCCACTCTCCACCTTGAAAGTAGAATATTATAAGTGTACCAATAATGGTGCTGTTAGTTTAATAAGTGCATTAGAGAATCTCCATTAAATGTATTATTTATGAATTTTTAAATTATGGAGCAGTAATTTTAAAAATTACACAAAATGATAAAATTTTGATTTGCTCCTTAAAATAGCTTGTTATTAAATCTTTGTATAGGAGAAAGGTATTGCTTAAAAAGATACTGTTTGAATTATGTTAGGTAATTCAAGCTTTAATTTTGATTTAATTATTTCAATGCCAATTTTCTATTAATTTTGACAAAAAAATTAAATATATGAATTATTTTATGGGATTCTTTAATTTTGAAATGTTATCTTTTGTTAAATAGATAATGTTTCTGTATATTAAATACATATTGAATTGTATGAACTAGATCAATTAATACTACCTCTAATTCAGATTTTTATAATATTGTACTATAATTGAAATAATTGCATACATCAAGTTGTTTGACAACTACACAAATAACAAGGTGTTACTATAATTTTTCAAATATTTTATTGATTTTAAATGGAAGAATTTAATGAGAATTTATTAATTGTACGACTATTCTAAAATATTATAATATTATTACTTATTTAAAATTGTATTCTCAGAATGGCTCTAAAAGTTAAATCCTTTGTTAGTATAGAATATCAATTAAAAAAAAAACAAAGAAACGTAAAATTCTTCAATTGGTGCAAATAATTTTTAACTTCATAAAGTCACAAAATATAGTTTCGGAATTATGTTCACTACGGCTTTAAGTATTAATTTAAATGTAATTAATTCTCATTAGTTTTAAGTAATTTTTAATGAAATCTTTAGAAGTCAGTTTCGATAGTGTAAATAATATACCTATTTGTACCACCCAGTCGAGACTGACATTCGCCATATTTACATTTTTTACCTATAGATTATCTTTATTTCATAATATGTCAAATACAAGGTGTATTTTTTTCTTTATTTTTTGTGCATATTTACAATAATATGTGTTCTATAAAATGCAACTTTGGTTGCAAACTAATGGACAATTATTATTATTTTGTATTTCGAAATAATTAGTCTATATTTACATATAATCAAGGAAATAATCTAACATTCAATGAGAATATGTCATTAAATCTATAAATTAAGCATTAAAATTAAGTTACACAAAAAAACTCTTTTCAAGGTGAAATGATTATTTCATTAAGTAATACTTAAAAGTGAGTCTCAAATGTCGTATAATTAATTATTAATATTATTTTCATAGGGAAAATATTTTGGGAGAAAATAAAACATTATAATTATATTATGTGATTTATTTCTAATTTGTATAAACCAGTGATGTAACAAAGTCATTTATATTTTCTTTTAAAATAAATGTGTTTTTGTTAACATTTTACGTATTTCATTTTTACTTTATAATATAACAATATACTAAATTACATTATTTTTTTATTCCTAATTTTTTAAGTCTAATTATGGCGACATGCAACATCGCCTTGCTTTATCATTAAGCTTATGTTATTGCACTTTTAATTATAACCGAATATATTATAAACATTAACAAAGATTAATATATTAACATATATTAAACACAAACTTGTATGATTAGAAATCGTTAGCTTATTCATAGATTATATCAATAGCAAGGCGATTGATCTGTTAACCACTCTATAACTTAATTTCTTTCCACCTACTTCGACCCGTAAAAGGGACCTAAAATCGACTATTATAATTTTTTTAAGCACAACCCTAATTTTTTTTCTAAAATAAAAGTTGCTTAGTTACTGCGTATAACATCAGCTATCTGCCAGTGAGAGTCCCGTTAAAATCGGTCCAGCCCTTTCAGAGATTAACCAGACCAAACAGACAAAAAAATTAGAAGTTGTGTTTTTATTATAAGTACCGTACATAATTTCATATGCATTTAGTAAAGAGCTGTTATTTTGACATTACAAACAGATACTTACACTATTTATTTTATACTTATTATTTTATTATTATCTATACAAGATTAACAACTAACATTAAATTTTCTATGAGCTATGAAAAGAAATTAACAGTACTATTCTTAGAATCACTAACGATTATATCTAATTGTTTTGTTACATGAATGCCTGAAATCCATCCAAACTTGCCCGGTTCGATGCCAAGTCTGCCAAAAACTCTAACTAATTGTCCATTAGGTTTAAAAACTTGGACTCTACAATTTCCTGAGTCTCCCACTAAAATGAAGCCCATAGGATCAACTGTTAATACTTCAGGTGTCCTAAACTGCCCTTTTCCTTGCCCTAAAGACCCAAATTCTACAATTTTGTTCTTATCCTGTTTATTATATATTTTGACTCGACGGTTTCCGCTATCTAAAATAATAACTCGGTCGTTGGTAACAGCGATAGACGTGGGTGCATTGAATTCCGTACAAACTACTTCTTTGGTTTCAAATACGCTGGATGTGTCTGTACGCCATGATTGTAATTTTTTCGCTAGTCCATATTGGTCTATGAATTGCCCATCTGGTTTTATTACCTGTATAGTACATAGTTTTATATTTTATTAATGTTAAGTCGTTTTAAAAGCAGTTGCTTAAATCTAAACAAAACAAAGAAATAACAGTAAAAATAAACAATTTATATTTATCTACATTATTCACAACACAACAAGCGCAACATTGCAAAGAGTAAAAAAAACGAATTAACTAATTAGTCTAAATAAATTAGTTAGTTTATGTCAATTGTAAATCTTAATATATTAAATACATTTTTATACTAAGGCCTTTGCCAAAAAAAAAAATGAAAACAAAAAATCTCCTGTGTGAAAATCATAGACGTAGAGAGTGGCCTGTGTTTCTTTGCATACCGTCAGCTGAAAATGGCGGGAACCGAAAGAGAAAAAACAAATGTGCGGATACAAGTTTTCTGTATTAATTCAAATACGATTAATGAAGATAGATATGTATAACAATTTTTAATATTATAATTTTCAACAATATAATAATTTTTTTCATTCCATTATAAATTCAAATTGGAATAAAAGGGTACCCTGCGGCCGCACGTTAGCCTACTCTCTTTGTCAATTTCATGACAGTGTATTGCTCAGTCTATGGTGAAAATTAAACCCACAGGCTAAATTATATAAGTATGGCTAATGGCATATTATTTTTGTACTATAATATTTTTAATGTAAAATCGAAATATTTACCTGCACTCTATCATTTCCAGTATCAGCTACGTAAATGTGATTGTTTGCGTTATCAGTCGCTATGCCCTCCGGTGATCGGAACATACCAACTCGACTCCCCTTTTGTCCTATACATCTGATGTAGTCGCCCTCTTTTGAAAATACGTAGATACAGTGTTTCCATTTATCTGAAATATTTTAAATTTAAATATTTGAACTTTTATGTGTACTCATTAAATTATAATAGAAAAAAATCCACGATTTATCTATACAGATAAATAAAATTGAAGTGTCTGTTTGTAATGTCAAAATAACAGCGTTTTACTAAATGCATATGAAATTATATACGGTACTTATAAGAAAAACACATTTTTTATTTCATTTTTGTCTGTCTGGTTGTTCTGGATAATCTCTGAAACGGTTGGACTGATTTTGACGGGACTTTCGCTGGAAGATAGCTGATGTTATATGTAACATGGGCTACTTTTATTTTAGAACAAGAATTAGGGTTCCGCTCAAAAAAATTAAAAGTATCTAGGGACGAACCCGAGCGAAGCAAGGGAGAGTCGCTAGTGGTTAAATATAAATGTTTGAATCCAACGTTATTCTATAATATTTATTGTTTCGTTCTATACATATTTATCGAGTTGATGTGAATGGCGAAGAAGTTCTACCTTATACGAGTATAAGATTTTTGAAAAAAATATGTATTTTCTCAGACAATAATCATTAAACCAAATACTTTTTTGACGCACAATTATTTTATTGTTTATTTCTGAAGTTTAAAGAACAAATCCTGATTAATAAAAATATTGTGCTATAACATATTGCAATGTAAACAGTATAATAACTAGACTAATTTAAAAATATTTTTATAATATAACTTACCCGTCACATAGATCTCGCCTAAACTCTTCATAAACGCAATATGAGCGGGACAAAGCATCTCATCACAGGACAATCTTGTTATGATTCTGGCCTGTGTCCGTTCTACAACAAGGACGCTGTGGCTGTCCACGCCGCAGATATATAAATGGTTGTTCCATGGACTAACGCCTACACCGGAAGGTCGAGACGTTTTCTTCCACACGTAATGAGGTATGAAATTTCTAGATCTAAAATTTGGAAAGTTATTGGTATTAAACAATAAATATAAGTGAAGATTATAAACTGTTGTATAATTGGGTCAAAATACAAATGCCCTTCTGACCGATTACAGCTACGGCGGCTAATTTCACTGACTCATAACACTAGTCAACTGCGCAGGAGATATTATAGCGCAGCGAGTGTACGCGCAGACACAACGTGCACTCTCTATTCCTTTACATTCTCAAATTTCGATGGGATGATACCTCGATGGGTATAACACCGTCAATTTCCTAACTCCGAGTTGTTACTGAGAAATCCTTAAGAGAAAGATTTAATAATTAAACTTGGCCCGACTTGGGTCTCGAACCCAGAGCCTCCGGATATGCAGCCCTAGATGCTAGCCACTACACCGCCGAGGTTATTGGTACTAGTACTAGTTGTAGCTATTTAAATGTATTTTTGTCTGCGTGTTGCAGGAACTTGTAGATATTAACTGACGAAATTCCAGACAATATAAGAATATAGAGAGAATAACTACCTAAATTGTGGCAAGTAATTACTTTTTAATTTAGTTAATGTTAATTTTGTTTATAAAAATTGATTTTAAAACGTCTATTGTTGAACGTCAATCTGTAAATGCAACCGAAATATATAACGTGTATATAATTGTAATAAGTTCTTACCTATAAAATATTGCTAAGCTTGCTTCGCTCTCCATAGGGTCGTATGGTTTCGCCGTTTCCGGCACGGGGTCGTCCGACTCGGCGTCACAGGGCGTCGCCGAGTCCACTTCTATGCTAAAATTTTCTTTGTCGAACGTAAACTTTTCAGCATCCCATTTTGAGACTTCCGATAAAAGTTGTATTGTATTTTGATGTAAATTTATGAAAGTCAACACCTAAGTAAAAATTAAAAATTCATATTAGCTTGATTGTAATGAAAAAGTCCTCCAGGCCGAATTTTTGTCACAGTCTAGAGACTATGCAAACGAAGCAGTGCTGACTATTCTTAAGTTTATTAGCTTACTGTCAGCATTTTTCTTACGGTTGAATAAATATATATTAGTGATTTATGTTTAATCTGTATATTACATATTTTTTGGAAAATTTTATTGATATAGACATTATTATCAATACAGAGGCCGAATCTATAGTTTTTAGAATTTTCGTCTATCTGTCTGTCTGTTACCGCATCACAGAAAAACCACTGGAGGGATTTTGATGAAATTTGGTATGATGATAGCTAGTTGTCCGAGTCAACATATTTATTACTACTTGTCCGAGTCAACTATATATACTTTTTACGGCAGGAAAATATCTCATTTCTGAGGAAAAATGCAAAAACTGCATGGTAAGATTAGACTAATATGTAAAACCTAAGAATTTGCTTTTTGGTCACATGAACGCGGGCGGAGTCGCGAGCAATGCTAGTACATAATATGTATCAAAAAACCGCTTAAAAATAAACTTGTCTCATTTGGGAGCGCTAAAAGCGAGGACCTCTATAGGTTAAAATTGTAATTTTAGATTTACTTAACATATAGAAGAAATAATCGAAGGTGTAGGTAACTAACGAAGCAGGTTACGCCTGCTTAAGTTGTTGTGAAATTATAAGTATTATTACGTATTAAATGCTATCAGATTTTTATATATCTGATTTAGTTTAATTTTTCAGTGGTAAATTATCACATGTTATAATATATGTATGGCGGTCATGTAACATTTTAGATAAAGTTTTTGATTCATAGTGGTCCCCAATAGATTAGATGCTAGATATAATTAATGAAGCATTTATCGTAACTTGTAATATTACTATGAACGTAAATTTAGAAACTATGTCTTAGAACATGGTATACAAAACCATATCTTAAAAACACTCTTTAGTTGAATAATTCTTATAAACTTAGAAAATAATTGTCTATTTTATTTTTACATGATAAAACTTAGATTTTCACATATGTATTTAACGATTTGTATGGAATAGATAGACTATATAAATCATATATACACATATTATATAAACGTCCACACCCTTTTTCACCCTCTTAGGGGATGATTTACGGGATAAAAACTATCCTATGTCCTTCCCAGGGTCTCAAACTATTTTCATATCAAATTTCATCTAAATCAGTTGAGCGGATTAAGCGTGAAAAGGTACGGACGGACAGTTATACTCGCATTTATAATATTAATTAGTATGGATGAATTCTAAATAGCCTGATTTAATAACATCTTACCTTATCAGTGTCTTTTGTGTTATTATTCATGTTCATAGAACTAGCGGCAACGACTCTTGCTTCTTCCAAAGACGCTTTCAGAGCTAACGCAGACATATCTCCTGATTTTTGTAATTCTGCTGCTTTACTTAACAATTGCATTTTGATATCCAAAATAGCATTTATTTTTTCCTCCGTTGCTATATTTATTTGTTCAACAATTCGCTCACAGCGGTCCTAGAATTTGATTAATTTGATTTGAATTACTATCGTTTTCTAGGGACCTGTACCTCAAAAGGAAAAAAGGGATCTCTATAGGTATTTTTATCACTTTGTTGTCCGTCTGTCTGTCTGTCACTACTTTTTTTCTTAGGAACGCGTAGAGATATCAAGTTGAAATTAATATTATCAAATACTCAAGTCTGCATTCTTTTAGATCTGTGAAGAAATCTAACTATTAAGTCAACGCAATCAAAAGGTACGACCGTTTAAGCTTTAGCTTATAACACTCGCAAGAGAAACAGAACCTATAGGGTACTTCCCGTTGACCTAGAATCATGAAATTTGGCAAGTAGCATGTCTTATACGAGTAGTACAAGTAAAAGGAAAAATCCGAAAACCGTAATTTGTAGTTACATTACAAAAAAATGTCATTATTAACTTATTTTTAATTTTTAATGCTGCGGAACCCTCAATGTGCGAATCAGAGGTACGAGTATCTTTACCTTCTTGAAATAGGTAAAGATGCAGTTTTATTAAAAAAAACATCAATAAGTATATATGAGTGTGGGAATCTGATTAACTTTAAAAAATCATTAATAGTGTCAACATCATTAAATGTTATCGATACTAGAGATAATGACATTTTATTGATATTTATATGCAATTTAGCGAAAGCATACCTTGTAATGTTCTATTTTATGATCAAGCCGGTTCGTAGCGGAATCTAGTTCCTTTAAGATGGATCCTAATTGAGTCCGCAGGTCTTCTAAATGTCGTGACCAACAAAGTTGACAGAAGTTCTAAAATCATTGTAATTAAGGAAATTGTAATCAACTGATCATCAATCTAGATGTAAGTAGATCATGAATATAGATGAAGTAGTAAATTTATTGTCATAATCATAATAATATTTTAAGCAACTTTTTATTGTGAACGAGATCATCTCAATTACAGTTATCAACTTAATCAATTCATTGTAAATAAAACTATCTTTTAGGATTTTTCGCAGATTTATTTTGATTTTTAGTTCCCGTTGTTTCAAATGCTTCGGCAATCATGGTCACGGGAGAGACCAAACTAAAAATCAAAGTAAATCCGAGAAGACATCCGAAAAGATAGTTTAATTTAAAATATCAAATATTCGCGTAAATCTAAGAAAGTATTAAACTAAGTACTGATCAGAAAAGGTAAATGCAATATCAGGATATACCTACTGGACCACACATATATATGACCAGTATACTGGACCATATATATATGCTGGACCACAATCAACTAAAGCTACTAAATAACAATTTTCGAGTTTATTATTTTTCGTCCAATTTCAAAAAAAGAAAAGGGAGTAAATTCGATTGTATGGCTTTTTCTGGCTATGACTAGTAAATTACAAATTTCACTCGCATGGTTTTTTATTTTGCAATTTATACTATTTGTAAACAGTCTGAAGTATTTTATTATAATTATAGATAAGAAAAGTAAAAAGCATTATGATAAACATACCAATTTGCAATGCTCGCAAAAAGTGACATCATAATTGTCACACATAGTTCGGCAATGAGTGCATCTCACGCCACCAGCGAACAATTCAATGCTCTGCATATTTGTTGGGGAAATTGGTGGCGATTCTATTTTCTTCACTTTGTTTTCTTTTATGCCCACTATAGCTAGTAGAGAGTTTATGTAGAGATTTGTAGGCAGATCATCTACAAAATTTGTACCTTGCACTTGAATTCTGGTGCGGCAGATTGGACAAGAGATGACCAGGTTATCTGCAATTTAATTAGAAAGGTCTTCTAAAATTCTCTTCAGAGATCTTAGTTCTATTTAAATTAATGTTATAGTTAAGTTTACCTGCAACATACACTTTCAGGCATGTAAAACAAAACGTGTGTTGGCATGACAACATCTTCGGTTGGTTTAACACTTCCAGACATAATGAACACTGAACTAGTTCTTTGATGCCGCCCGCAGAAAGTCTATTTCGACAAAGGAAGGTTCATAAGTTGCAGAATTTAGCTTGCTTTTTTAATTTATATATAAAAATATAATACTGTTTAAGGTCTGATATCTGTAAGGCTATATATTTGTTACAGATGTTTTCTTGAGTTACGTTATTAGGGTGGGGTCAGCATTATATATCAACACGCAGTTTATCAGCAGTACATAGCAGTGAACAGATTGATATCAACTGAAAAATTTACAAACAAAAGTGTACAAAAGTAAAAGTCTTAAAATTGAGGGAATATAATCAAGAATAATCTATAAATATTACATATAATAAAATTGTAACTAAGCCGAATCTGTACATTAAATATTTTTTTAGAAAATCTTATTAAAATAGACATTATTATGGATACAGAGGCCGAATATATACTTTTAAGAATTTTCGTCTCTCTGTCTGTCTGTCTGTTACCGCATTACAGAAAAACCACTGGATGGATTTCGATAAAGTTTGGTATGATGATAGCTGATTATCCGGGTCAATATATAGGATACTTTTTACCGCGGGAAATTGTCTAATTTCTGAGAAAAAATACAAGAACTGCAATGTAAGAGTATACAAATATGTAAAAGTTTAAAACCTAAGAATTAGGTATTTGGTCATCTGAACGCGGGCGGAGCCGCGGGCAATGCTAGTCAAGAATAAAAAGAATTAAAAATGAGACGTTTATTTTTCACTTTTTTATTTACAAGTGGTTTTGTAGTACAAGATTCGAAATAAGATCTCGCCATATTTCGTTAGGAAATCTGCAATATATCTGTTTGAATATTACTTATAATACAATGTGCTTTTTAGCCGACACATGGATGATAGACGACATTACTTCGAAACTAGTACTATGAGGTCCACATTAGAGATAAAAACACGAGCTTTAAATTAATAACGATGTATAATAAAAAACACATAGTAATTAATTGTGAAAATGACATTTCAAAACTTTTACCATTGTTTTACATTGTTTGTTCTTTTTTTACAATAATGTTAACGGATTTGAATATGGCATAAATTCCGGGGTCAAAACAAAAATCGAGCCAACGATGTTGCAAATGTTAGTCATTACGGCTAAATTTATGGACATCTTTACACAAACTGTAGGCATTTTATATTGTGCGATGCCAACTATGGTTTCGACAATGCATACAAAATAACACGGATATTTTGACTATATCACATTTTGTATGTTAAGCACGATTTATGTATACCTACTTAAAGGGGCGGATAAACTGCATTAAGTTTATTTTTCAATTTGTAATAATAGCAATGTATAAAAGTCCATGAAACGTAAACACTTAGAGCTGCATAATACTAGAATATTTTGTTCCTTAGAAATTCTCCGTTCAAGTATTTGATTACATTTGTTATCGATAACGATACTATTAATATGATAGAGAATTTATGACTTTATATGTATATTAGTTGGATTATTGGACAGTTATAGCTTAAGTTATTAATGAATTAACTTCCTTAAAATTCTAATCATCTATTTATAAGTGACATAATATTACGTCATAAGTACCTAGTACGTAATATCCTCCCGATTTCAGTCATGATTATTTAATCATGGCCTTCAATCTTACTAATATATCCCTATGTATAGTCCACAAATATACGAGCAAATAAGTTGGACAGCAAATTCCAGCCATACTTGAGTTGGCCCGACCCGAGACTTGAACCCGGGATCACCGGATCTGCCTATCTCTACGTATTATAGGTACCTACTTGTTTTCAATATTTCACTTGTTAAAGTTATTATTAGTTTATCATCACGTATTGCATTATTTATAGCGTGATTGCAGAATTTTTTATCCCGAATAATTATCGAGTGATAAATAATAATCTTAGTAAGTTATATTTATAGGTACCTATACATATATGTACACAGTGCCTTTTTCAATGGTAAATGTCCAGACAGATAGTGAAGTAGACGATAATTTAAAAAACTGTATTCATAAGATAAAGTTTTGAAAATCAGATATTTTTTTAATGCTTTTCTCTAAAACTACCTCTTTACTCTAGCACGGTATATATAGGTATGTGTGTATATATGTGTGTGTGTGTATATATATATATATATATATATATGTACATTGTATGTGTATTTTTTAAATATATAGTTCGCGTAAAAGAAATATGTATTTAATGTTATGATCTTAAATACTTATAACGCAATTAAATGGTTTTGTACTCGATAGTACCTGCGCAATCTCAAGAGGCTAACTTCACTTTGGCAAATTTAAGAGCGCTGTAAGGGCTTCTGTGTATTTTGATTTATTTATTATTATGTATAAAGCAAAACATGCAAACACTTACGTTCACGCAAACACTAACGAATAGAGCTCGAGAGATTTTTGTATAGTTATGTTATACACGCAGATCCCATCAATAAGGTACTTTATTATGGGAAATGGAAAATTAAAACACTTGTTAGCTACCTATACTTGTTATATACATATATTGGTTGGTTGGTTGGCGGAAATATCAGTGCTGGCGTGAACAGAGCCAGCTTGGTCTTTAAAAGTTCCCCAAGGTGTCCTTCTGCTACGTTCTCTCACACATTAAAGTTTCCACACGATGTTTTCCTTCACCGTAATTACCTTACGAGTTTGAAAAATAAAGTAAATCATATTTTACGTAGGTACCTATTATATCGTACTTAGTAAAATAATTTTATTGCATTAGTCCATTCGTAATTATTACGATAAGAAATTTATCCTATATCCTGCAAGAAACCTCTAGGTATTCTGTATTCAAAAATTAAAATGCGCTAAAAGTTTAAGCACTAACCTTGCCAATAAACTGTAGCAGTAGTGTTTTCTGCATACTAACCGAATTTACACAAGTTAGGTATACCCCTTCTGCCGCGAGAAACTTTTATATAAATATCATTCAAATCCATTCAGCGGTTTTATAAGCGTGGACACACACATATATATATATATATATATATATATATATATATATATATATAATGAGAAATCACAGATATAATTACATGAAATATCGTCTTCAGATATTTAGGTTTTTAGGTATAATAATACATTAATGGTTTAAAAAGTTGTTTAATGTGGGACAATTTGCTAAATATTTTTATACGAGATAAGAGATTTCAAATATTGTCATTAACAATGAATATGTATTTATTTAAAGTCATTTTTATTATTTGTGACCAGTGACACTCACCTCACTTTGCAACTTCTTGCACAATATATTAATGTCCCACGGTGACCATTTTATACTGTCGTAGCACACGAGCAGAGCCGCGGGCACATAAATGGGGATAGTAAAGTCCAAAACTTTTTGCAATTAAATTCTCAAATAAAAACTAGCACACAAGTAAGATAATTAAAAATATTGACTTACTTTCTTGGTTTTGCTTCGGATGTGGAATTCATAGTTCTAGAACTCATTTGTGTTGCTTGTTTAAAGATAGGCGGAGTGGTTTGTGGCTGTGGCGTCAAGTTAGGGGATGTATCATCTACTCCCTTCTGGCTATTCCATCGCTTCAAATTAAAAAATGGTCTTTTTTTTACTTTCTCCGCCATATTGTTAACTGACAAGCATAAGGCAATAATTAATACTGAATCAACATTACTTATTACAGTGTTATCAGTTTTTGCCGATTTTATGTTAAGATTAGCCAATTTTGATAAGATTACACAAAATTTGATATATTATGTGTCATTAGTAATTGTTTACCAAGCTATATGTGCTGTTTAAAAAGTTTATACAAGATGATACGAATATTTTGTAAAATTTTAAGTAAAACATAAATATGTTGGGACATTAACACACAGCACCATCTAGTTCCATGATAAGCTACGAGGCCTGTGTTATGGATACCAGATAATTGATACACTACACATATATAACTTTAAATACATACATATTATAAACATAAACACCCATGACTGGAGTACAAACATTCGTGTTCATCACACAATTAAATGCCCCCAGCGGGACTTGTACCCGCGACTGCTAGCACAGCAACTAGGGTCACTACAAACTGAGCCAAACCTCCTACTGCTGGGGATGAGCCTCCCTTTAATACGAGGGGGATAAGGCCATAGTCCACCATCCTTGCCAAATGCGGGTTGGCGGACTTCATGTGTCTTTCAAAAAGCTCAGTTTAGTTTCCTCATGACGTTCTTTTTTCACCGTAAGACAGTGGTAATCATGTTGAAAATGATTCGCACATGTAAATTCTACAGGTGTGAGAGCAGGGATTTGAACCTGCCTCACTCGGGTTCCCAAGCGATCGTGTTACCACTAGGCTAGGACTGCCTCCTATGCATTTTACTATAATATATATCTTATATATATAAAAGAAAGTCGTGTTAGTTACACTATTTATAACTCCAGAACGGCTGCACCGATTTGGCTGAAAATTGGCGGGGAGGTAGCTTAGAACCCAGAGACGGACATAGGATACTTTTTATCCTGTTCGACTGCGTTCCCGTGTGATATTGTTTGTCTGTTTGTACGGGCTAATCTCCGAATCTATTGGACCGATTTAAATGAAATTTTGCATGGTGGTACCTTATATCCCCGGACAACGTCTTAGATATTTTTTATCGCGGAAAATATAATGGTTCCCATGGGATAGTTAAAAAACTATTATAACTTATACAACTTATGCACCTAATTTAGTAAAATTTAACATTCTGATACCTTATATTGCCGGTCAAACAACCGGTTACTTTTCATCCGGGAAAAATGAACGGTTCCCGTGGGAACTAATAGATTTTTATTAGTGTTTTTCTAGATGCGAACCCGAGCGAAGCGAGGGTGAGCCGCTAGTTTTTTATAAATATGTTATATTAATTGTTGTTAGATTACAATAAATTTTAAAATATGAAAGATATTCCTCCCTGCTAACCCTAAAAAGGAAAAGTTTTACATATTAAAGAAACAAGGACATAGCGTATATATATGTTTATATGTATAAATAGGTATGTTTTTGAGAAAGTAAGAAAAGATGTAGGCTTTTGGGTTGCCATATTTTATTTGACTTCATGTTATATCCTTTTTACATTGAAATAAACAAACCATACTTCTAGTATTTTAAAGAATACGTTTTTTCTTTAAAAGCATTATAAAAAGTTTATCATTAAGTCTATGGTATGACCACAGATCACATAATACTATAGGTACTAGTATAACTATGCTTAGATACCAATTATACTGTAATCAGAATGCCTACAGTACTGCTCAGATGGTAATTAGTTAAATAATAATCGCATATGTATTTTTGGAATTTTCTGTTTGCATGAGACTACTTAAAAATAAGTCTATGAATGCAAAGGAAAATGTCCTTCTTATTAAATCTTACTGCAATCACTGTTGAGCACGGGCCTTTCCTAGATGCGATGCAATTAGGTCATAATCCACTTAGTTGAAAAAAGCGAGTTGCGTTAACATCACACATCTCACACTACCTATTTAAGTTCTCTCGTCTAAGAAGCACGTTTGAGATGCAAGCCCCGTCTTTGAACCTACATCACTTGGTTTTCTAAACAAATACGCTACCAAATCACAATCATTTCTTTTTTTTTATACTGTTCAGAATTAGTGCTTGACTACGTTCTACCTGATGGTAAGTGGTAACGCAGTCGTAGATGGTAAGTCGCACTAATTCAGTAGCCACCTATTCACTCTTGCCTTGAAGATTATTATTATAAAATATTATTATTCCGTAATAATACGTCAATACTTAAGTGAGAATACGTATTTAGGAATGCGATAGCCCTAAAAGCGTTTTATGAGGGATGTTCTAGAGTCTAGACTAACCGTGTCACGCAAAGACCGCCGGCAGATCAGGGTAAACAAGCTTTCGATTTATCAATTAAGCTAGCAATGTGATAGAACCTATACACTTTGAATGATGCAAGTGCAGCAAAAAAAGCAAATGTGGCGCACTTCTAATTATATTATCCATCTAGAACTACGTTAGTTTTTAAGGTTAATATGTCGATTTCACTTACTGAGATGTTTGCTTAGTAAAAATAGTTCAAGTATATTATAGGTTTGTGTTTCTAAAACATTTTAATAGTCTACGAGTATATCAGACCCTTTGGAGGTGACTAGAATGATGAAATAATAAAATATTTATTTGTAAACGGAACTAGAGTGGTAGTATCTGCAGTAATTATATCTTGATATAATGATAACAGCCCTGATTTTAATGTCGTCAGACAATTGGCTACTGTTCGAACGCTTTGAAATGATAATTGGTTGTAATCACTGACAGATAAATATTAGAAGGACAAATACAATGAGCAAAACTCATAAAATTAGTAAGTGAAGCTCACTAAGAATAATAAAGATAAGATTGAAAAAGGTAAAGATTGGAATTATATAGATAAACTCATATACCAGCATAACACCAATCATCATCATTTTTAACAGCTACGAAACAGAAACAAACGCTTGTACAGCGAAATTGTGCATATTATAATTTTTTATTCAATTTAGTTGATTCAAATTGAAATCTTTCAAAAAATAAATAAATAATAAGTGTGCAAAATCTGAAATACTATATTCTCAACAAACAGTACTAATAGGTGATTATTTTGCTGAGGAGACAGTCATGATATGTGGCGGGCGTCGTGCCGTGCCAGTTGCCGCTCAAACGACTAGGTATCTTTTATATTTGCACTATGTAAATATATGTATGTCTAACTTTACCCACTACTTACGCTTACAAGGTGTTATTTTTCAATAAATAAGATAACATTACAACTACTATATTTAAAAAAAGTATAGACTTATGTATTGAATTAAAGTATGCTTTGAATTAAATTGTTGAAAAGTAAGTATTATATCTAGATAATTTTTATAGCATGTAAAAAGTAATAGTTTTTAAACGAAACTAACGCAATGCCTCTGCTGCGCATTTTAATTTACACTCAAAAAATGTTGTTTCCCATACAAGTTTTGCCACTCCTTTTCACCTCTATATTGGTTGAATTTTGAATTATTCTAATTGGCCGATGATAAGTCAGTCAAGACGTGCAAGTCTAAACGCCAGAGGGAAACACGAGCAAGTGAAACCTGCCGGCATAATTATTACCTGTATCTACTATTAAATAAAGATTTCAACATAGCTCCCCTATATTTATATAGTTCATATGGTTTTTTGCTCGACCACCAACCACAATATACAAAAGTTTGGTTTGACTGTTTGTACACAATAATGATCAGGCATAGCCATTTAAGCTAACTTACTGCTGGTGAATAGAGGATGCAGGTGAGAGAGGCATAATCATCTTTTAATCCTCGGTTCCCACGGGATAAACAAATATAATATACAAAGATAATATGCCGCAGGCGATATGTAGGTCCTAACATGTCCGGGGGCAAACAAAGGGGCGTGACCCGCCAATGGCTTCGGTATGTTGGCTAATCACAATACCGCTTCTACAAAGTGGCATTAAATCAAATTCGCAGCCACAAACGTATGTAGTTGGTCGCAAGTTCGACATAATAATGCCACACTGGACCACCACAGTCTTCTTTTAGAAAACAATAAGACGCGTGAAATAAATTCCAAAACATTTTGTACCTTCAAATTGGAAAGCTAAGGTCATAGGTAATTCAATTACTTAGTATTTTTTCGCAATGCGAATAATCTTTCTGCTCTAAATTTTACTTTAAACTTTTGTTGATTTTGTAGATATGTTCGTAGATTGCGCACTCAGTACAGTGGGGCACATATTTTTATTAATAAAATTTAACCTATCAGTTTTATGATTATAAATTATCAAGCGTCATAAAAAAAGAAATTTCTAAATTCAGATAAATAAAAAAACAGTGTGAAATAACATTTTTTTAGAAATTTAAAAGCCGTTTCAATTTTATACCAGTGCCCCAGATAAGTCTAGATGCCTATATGTTTTTATATTCCGATGAGATTTATTTCAATTTAATTCATAATTAATTATCTACAATATACCGATATTTCCGTTAAATGTTCACTAATTATAATTAGATTATAATCTTCCTCAGGGGCGGATATAAATAGGCTTTTTGGGCTGCAGTCCAGGGCATCTAAAAAGTAACGGGCCCCCTATTGAAAACAATGAATAATATTGTGAATTTATGAAATGAAAAATCAATTAAGAATCAAATAATAGCGACCATAATTTCGTCTAGTACTATGTTTCTATAATAATAGATTTTAAAAGGCAAAATGACAATTAATTTTAGTATTTTTAAATAATTGTAATAGGTGATATCTACATATCTCTACAGAGGACATTCGCAGTTGGGTTCGTGAATTATAACCGTGATTATAGGAGTGATATTGTATTTTATGTGGATGGAAGTTTGCGTAATAGTTCTGTTAGTAAGTAGGTACTGCATGTTATTTTAATATTAAAATATAATTAAAATCTCGAGTAAAGATATTTTGAAGTTGAAAATGATTAAAATCTTTAGTTCGTTTATTATATGAGAAGTGTGTTAAATAATTTATTAAGGACACTTATGTAGAAAGATGAGGTATTTAATAAATAATTATTAATGTATATAAATAAAAATCAAT